CAAGTAAGTGCAGCGGATTCATATAGTATGTAAATGAATTAATTGAATTTACCGTTGCCCTTGCACAGGCTATTGCCGCCGGCTGCAATAGACCCAAGTCGAATCTTGGCTTCAGCACGAGCGCAACGAGCAGCAAGCGTTCCAGTTCGCTGTGCTCCACAACGCAGCCCATAGCCATCAATGCAGCCACCTCGGCGTGCTCGCTGAATTCGGCGATTAGTTCGCGCAAGACGGTGCAACAGGAATCCTACAGCTCGGTGGATTCCAGCGACTCGAATGACAATCAATCGAAGTCGCTGTTCGAGCTGTGCATACTGAATGGCATGTACAAGTCCAAAGAGCCGGGCAAATCGCAGCAGCTGCAGCAATTGCAGCAGCTGGGCAGCTCCTCGGCACAGTCCAATCCCAATCTCAAGCAGTTTGATTCGCTGCCCGTGCAGTTGCCAGTGCAACCGAAGCGCCAGCGTCAGCATCATCATCATCATCATCATCATCACCATCACCAGCATCAGCATCAGCGGGAACGGGAGCGTGAACGCAAGGATGAGAAACTGCTGCTGGAGTGCATCAATACGGGCATATCCAAGAAAATCAATGCCGTGCCAAAAAACGCGCAAGCTACGTCTGCAGCTGCATTGGAACCGTGTCACCCAATGGCGGCTACTACATCAGCAAGTGCCAACAGCACAGCAGCTCCAGACGTAGAGCAGAAATCGCACGCAATATCAATCCCATACAGCAGCCAATTGCCCAAACAGAGCAGCCTGCCCAACCACGACATCGACACCGACACAGACGCAGCAAAAAGTCCAGCTCAAAATCTAGAGATCGCGAACACGATCGTTCACATGACCGTTATTGGGTCTAAGTTGCCGGAGAACGATGCGGATCGCTCCAGCGACGAATCGAATCAGTCGTTTATACTGGACACCACAGTCCGGCTCGATGAAATTTCGGATGCCAGCAGGCAACGCATCAATGCCAGCTGCAGTTCAGACAAGCATAAGGATCCCGATCTAATGCTCAAGTCTGTGGAGCGGCTCACCCTAGAGTTTGTGACCTCCGCGGAGCAATTGCGCACGGGCAATCACAGTCACAGTCACAGTCAGAGTCACAGTCAGAGCAACAATCACAGTCACAGTCACAGCCAGAGTAACAACACCTGGAACGAGCACACCTGTCCCAATGATGTATCCTTTCCCAGCATTAGTCAAACGGCGCCAGTGCTGGGCTCGCTCAGCCTGGATGATGATGATGCTGACGCGAACGATGCGGATGCCACACAGGCACCGGATCTGCATGACTTCGCCGAGATTACGCCCACCAATGAGACGCATATGCCAAGCTCATTGGGATTGGTTAACGGCGAGGCAGCAGCAGCAGCGGGCTTGGCGCAGACGCAGCCCAACTCACTGGAAAGCCACACTCTAACCGAGACCTTGCTAGAGCAGCAGCAACAGCAGAGTCTATCGTCCGGCCTGAACTTCCAGCTGGGCGGTCAGGTGCTGAGCGCTGCAGTGCGCAGCTGCGAGCAGCAGCAGCGGCTGCTTCTGTTCAATGGCACCAGCGCCTCCATGATGACCAACTCCACAATGATTGCGTACGAGGCGCGCGCTCTGGCCGAGAATCTACAGCAGCTGCAGGCGTGTGACCATGACGATGCCATCAACCATGATGACAGCACAGCACAGCAGTTAACGTTCAGCATCAATGGCAGCCTGGATTTGGACAATGTGCGGCCGCCTTCTGGCATGGAATCGCTGAACTCTGCCTGCAATACGCAGCCCAGCTCCTTGCGGTTGGCCTTGCCCAGCAAATCACCCAGATTTGCGCGCAAGGCGTTTCCAGCTGGTTTGATGGCCAGACGTGCGCTCGGTCAGCTGGCGGGCAGCGCTGAGAGCGTAAATTCCAGCTGTAATCTGCTGGATAACATTAAGCCGCCATCGCTTATGGATGAGCTGCTGGACTCCATGATCAGCGTAGACAGCATACAGTCCGAGGTGGCGGATGCCGATCAGGACTGCAGCATGGCTACAACCATATCGGTTTCCAACTACGAGACGGCCGCTTGTGACGATCAAACGCTCACATTGACCATGCTCCAAAGCTGCTGTGACTACGATGACGAGGAGGATGCCACCATGAACGAGGACTTTAGCTCGGCGGAGTCAACGCCCAAACAGGGCTCGACTCCCTCGCCAAATCGACGCACACTAACGCCCAAGCAAAAGCGTCGCCTGGCCAAGGATCGCTACAAGACGTACACCATCACGAGCAGCGCTCTAGACGCGACAGAGGCGAATGAAACATTGCGTATTGAGATTGAGGAGTCTGTGCAGTCTTCGGCAGCGCCAGCGACACCATCGCCACGGCTTAATGGCAGGCGACGCGGCAGTGCCGAGCGCTACAAAACCCAGCTTATCGAATGTCCGCGCCAGCTGCTGCTCTTGCAGGATGATTGCGCCAGCGAGCAGCTGTCCTCCATGCGCGCCATGATGCAGCAGTTCACTTACATTACAGACATCAACATTGGCCAGCCCAGTCAGCCGGAGGAGGAGACGCCCGCTGCGTTGGATGATCCGCCCAGCTGTGAGGGCGATCAGAATTCGGAAACGGAATCCTGTCATGGTCGCGGCCAGTCACCGCCAGTCACGGCAGCGTCACGGCCCAAGCCGCTAACGCTCAAGAGAGCGACGCCGCCGCCTGCTCTGGAGCCAGCCGCGGCTGTCAAGGTGGTGCGTGGACGCAAGAAGCCCGCCTACATCTCGCCCTACAGCATGCAAAGTCAGCGCAATAGCAGCGCAGCCGCCGTCGCTGCCGCTGCTGCTGCCAAGAACAAGACGAAGACGCTCTCGCCGACCATAGCCAAGCGTAATGCTTTACCGGGCACACGGCTGCCGGCCAAAAAGAAGACAACTCCGCCACCTGCAGGCACGCGTCTGGAACGCCAGGGCACGTTTGTCAAGGATGAGCCCACAAATATGGACGCACAGGTGCCCATTGTGGAGGCAGTGAGTCCCACGCAGCGCGCCTCTAAGCTGCCCACAAAGCGTGCCACACCAACAACAACAACATCGGCTGCTTCACCCAAGCGCGTCATAGCCAAAGCCAAAGCAGCGCCTCGCGTGCTGCCAACCCAGCAACGTGCCAATACCAATATACGCCTGGCCAGCGCCAAGGCGGCCGCCGCCTCACGCGTAGCCGCCCAAGCGTCGCGGGTGTCAAGCACAACGCCGCCCTCGCGCAGCAATTCCAATTTGAATGGCGGCAGTGCAGCCGCTGCTGCGGCGGCGGCGGTCAAGATTAATCAAGCGCAAAGTCGCATAGCCAACATTTGGAAGCGTGTGGATGAGGCCAAAACCAAAACGAAAACCAAGCAAACAACCAATCTGAAGACACAGCAAACGAAATCTTCCAATACGCTGAACGGCACAGCGGCGCGTACCATGGTGCTGCGCAGCTCCACATTCGACAACACGCCGCCAGATGCTGGCACGGTCAGTCAAGCAGCCGGAGCAGCAGCTGCTGCCCGATCCCGGCTGCCCGTTGGAGGTGCGCGCAAATAGAAACGAACGCACAAAGCGAATCCCGTCTTGCATTTTCGCGTGAATAGCAGATAAACGGAATCAAGGAATGTTTATTATATATATTCAATAATATATATATCTTACAAACCTATATAGTCTTGATATATATATATATATACATATATCTCCTTCTTCATTTAGCGGGTAGCTAGATTTGTTAAGCGTAGAAACTATATCTAATCCAATTCACAGTCAGAAACGAAGAGCCTAAAACACATTGAAATCAGCTCCAAGTTCGTGTGTAGCCAAATGTATTGCATTAAAATAATAAATTAGATATTACTTCGGGCCTTTTCAGATGTGTACAACCTATATAGAGCATATCTATATCCTATATACCTACGAAACATATATCAGATAATACGATATTCAAAGTTGTAATATTTATCAATATTATTTATAGCAGGTATATAAGGTCTATGTATGTTGGGGCTTCTTATTCAAATGGGCCAAAATTAATCAAAAAATAAAAACAAAAAAAAAAACAAAAACAAATTTTATACACATAGTGAGCGTATTAGCCGGTCGGCTTTCTTTCTGCAAACCAAATATTATTTTGAGAATGATTATTGTAACACATTTGTAGTCATTGCTTTTTAATTATCATAATTTTATAAATCTTTATTTGATAAGCGTATTTGTATCTCGTTTTTAGCCGCTTTCATGGCGTTCTTTAGTTTAGCTTTGATTTAAGCCGATTTAAATTTCTAATAATATATTAAATATTAATAAAAACGAAATGTTTTCCAACAAAAAAAAAGCATTAAAAATTCAATTTATTATATACGTATAAATTGTCCGATTGTCCTCTTATATTCATAATATCAACAAAATTGGGAGCACTTCTCTTTTTTAAAGCAAGAGCCTTGTGCTTTGGTATAAGCCCTGAACATTTCATCAGGTTTGGATAGTACTTGGTAGACAACTGAGGCTAATTAATGTAGTTAAATTCTCATAGTCAAATAGTTTCTCAAGATTTCACTCCCAAGTGGAATGGATTTTCCGAGAACGTGTGAAATACCCCTCAAATGAATATGAACCAAAGGCTCGTTGGAAATGAGTTACCTAAAGTACAATTTTAGCTTCATAGTTCTTGAGGATTGCATTGGTCATCAAGCAGTCAGTCAATCAGTCAGTCGGTCAATCGTCAGTCAGTTGGGATTAACATCATTCAAGTGCTCTGAGAGAAAAAAAAAAAACTTTAGATTTTTGAATTTATTTTTAGTTGTTAGGTGGAATTTAGGGCAAATGGTTCTGTCAGGCATCGGTCGGCCTATAGGTTTGCCAACTGAAATTCCAGCTCTTGCGGCTGATTCACCCGTTTTGAATAGAGAAACCGACGAAGAGAATGCCGATTATGTGTATAGGGAGCCCTGGTATGCGACACTTGGCCAGATACTTATACCGTTTATCATGGCCAGCATGGGCACCATTACGGCTGGCGTAATGCTGGGCAAGGTGGAAAATTGGACCGTTTACAAGGAGATGAACGAGCTGTTTGTTCTGGTGCCCGGATTGTGCGGCCTCAAGGGCAATCTGGATATGTGCGTGGCGGCACGACTGTGCACCCAATCCGCCATGGGGAATATGCGCGAAAAATCCGATATACGCAAAATAGTTATTGGCAATTTGGCCGTGGTTCAGGTGCAGGCCATTGTGTGCTCACTGTTCCTGGTCATCTTTACGGTGGTGCTCAAATCCATTATTGGGCGCACGCTAATGGTTCAGAATCTTTTGACCCTGGCAGCCTCAGCCATTATTACGGCATCCACATCCTGCATAATACTGGACACAATGCTGCTGCTGATTATATTGTTCTCGCAACGATATCGCTTCAATCCCGATTATATGGCCACGCCCATGGTGGCCTCCATTGGCGATGTGACGTCCGTTAGCTTGCTGTCATTCACAGCCGCATTTCTGTACGAGATGGATAAGAGCTCCAGTTGGGTTAACATACTTATCCTTGGATCGTATGTGGTGATACTGCTGCCATTAATGGTCATTCTGGTGTGGCATAATGTCTATACGCGACCGGTGCTGATCTATGGCTGGATATCTGTGATTGGGGCACTGTGCATAAGCGAGTTTTCTGGGTTTGTGCTCGGCTCATCGGCGGAACAATATCGTGGATTTGCCGTCTTCTCTCCTATTATCAATGGGAGCGGCGGCAATCTGGGATCTGTCCAGGCGAACAATATGAGTTCCTTGCTCTACCAGCGCAGCGGAGTTCTTGGCAAATTGCCGGAAGGCACGCGAATCTGTGAGTCGCCACATCGTGTACTTTGCTATGGCACAATATATTCGCGTGTTTCCCGGATTGTCATTGCCATTTCGCTACCCTGTAATTTAATGCAAGTGTATCTGGCCGACTACATTTACACGCTGAAATCAAACGTACATATAGTGTTTGTTGCCGCCTTTGTTTTAGCGAGCTTATTGCAATTGCTGATCCTGTTATGGACCGCACACTTGCTGGTGCATATGCTCTGGCACTGTAAAATCGATCCGGATACCTCGGCCATACCGTTTTTGACTGCCTTTGGAGATAGTCTTGGAACGGGCCTTTTAGCGGTCATGTTTTACATTTTACAGTTCACTAGGTATTCCTATCGGACGAACTAATTTCAGTGAATACAAATCCATTCACATAAATGTATATAGATGCGCGTGAAAAAGTAGATTAAACAGATAGTTAAAACAGAAAAACTTATATTACTTTTAAATTAACGGCAATGCTCGTGCGGGGTTTTCAATTCGCGGCGTGGTAGCCCTGTGCGCGGTGTTATCGATAACGATAGCTTGCATATAAAATCGGCCCTATCGAGGCGCAGGCAACTCTTAAGCAATTTTCTATTTTCAGTTTGCGGTCACACTGTGCTGGTATTTTAAGATTTTTATTAAAATAAAAAAAAAACAAGCTATCCACAGGCAGCGAAAAGCAGCAACAGCAACGAGTGAGCCAAAGTGACAAACAAACAAAATACGTGAAAAAAAAATAAAAACAAAAAAAATCAATAATTATTATTGTGCGCAATATGCAGCCACGCTAAAAGACCTTGAGAAACAAGGGAGTGAACAGGGCTTGTGCTGCTGTCTGGCAGTTTTTCAAGCGTCTATTTACATTGCCACCCCACCTGGAGCAGACAGGTGTTGTTGTTGTTGTGTGTGCTGCTGCTGCTGCTGCTGCTGCTGTTGTCATCGATATTGTCATTGACATCTTCAGTTAGCTGCGCAGTGTCGCGTTTTATTGCAGGCCAAAAGTGAACACCTTGTGTATTTGTTAAATAACTTTCAACGCGCACACACACACACACACGCACACACAAATGTAGATACATTCGTAGCTAATCAGTTGCCAAAGATAACAGCCAGAGCGCATTTAGCCAGGCCAAAGCTAAAGCCAGTGACAGCGACAGCGACAGCGCCAGCGCCTTTGCCCACGTTTTGTACGCAGCTGGCCAACTGACTGGGCCAACTGTGACTCAACTTTGGCGTTAACAGCCGCTGCCGCTGCCGCTGCCTCTGCTGCTGCTGCCGCTGCCTCTGCCTGCTGCTTCTTTGCCAGCGCCCCAATATTACAATAGTCTCGAGTCTCTGTTAGCGTTTGCTGTCGCTGCTGCTGCTGCATCTATTATTCATAGTCAAGAAAAAAACAAACCATAAATTCAGTTGACCAAAATTTTCGCCTTAACTGTGATTTGTTTTATTTGGGCCTCACTGTGTTTGTGCTTATTCAATTAATACATTTGTCTCACAATTCGCCGTTATTGTGTGAGTTGTTTTTTTTAATAAATGCATATACGTTACACAGCACAGCCGTTGCGCCGCCGCATAAATGATTAGTACGAGCAGCATGAGGTCACAGGAGGGTCAACAGGCAGCCGGGCTGCCGCGACCCAAAAACAATGCGTCCAGCACACAGCTGACCCAGGATGAGAACGATGCGGTCTTTAGGCTACTGGGACGCAAGTGTCAGGTAAGTCAATTGATAAATACGCACACAATAATACATTTATGCCACAAATATAGTTATTTAAACGTTAAGTATGTATGATTAATGCCGTGTGATTAATGTTGCAAATTTGTAAAACACTTTCGACAAGCGTTGGCGATAAAGTCGTTTACATTTTTTTTCTGCATTTTAGTGCGTCACAATGTAATCACACACACACACACACACACACACACGCACGCATCTGTAACTACAGTGCGCCTTCGTTATGACAAACTTACTTTTCACTTTCTGTGAAATCAAACTTAATGTGAACTAAAAGCGTTAAAAATACTTCGTGGAATTAAAAAATTATAAGGACTTTTTCTGATATTTGAGATTTTTCAGGTTTTCTAGGCAGTTTTCTAGGCTACCCCATAAACTATTTAAATTATATTATAAAGCTGACTTACGAACTATTCAAGGGCAAGCTTTTACGTAAATCTCTTGATCTTCAAGATAACTCAAGCAAATTGTCATTATTTCTTATTTTCCTTGATACCCTATCTATATTGTTAAAATTATTCAAAAGAACTGCCCTGTCCATTTGTCTGTCGTTTCGTAGTTAACTATATCGAGGTTGTATGTCATTTGATGTTCAGTCTAATGAAGCATTTCCTGCGTGGAGGCAGTAGCTCAAGTAACACCTAATGATGATCCATGAACACATTTGGTAACATTAGATTCGTTGTTCATTGAATTTGCAATTCATATGATAGATATCCCTGAATTTTGTTATCAGCAATTGCTTTGGGACTTAGGTCTACAATGAATCGCCCAGCGACATATTTACAAAGTAGTTTGTTTTTTTTTTTTATTCGCACCGAAAAATATTGAGTCGAGGCGAAAACAAACACAAGCACAGACATGCTTAAAGTATTCAAAAAGTTGATTAGCTTTTGCAATTGATAAACTCTATGGAACAAATACTGGTCAGACTTATCTTATCGCAGCCATAGTACATCCGATACGTTCCCTAACCAATGCCAAAACAAATTACAGATAGCAAAGTTGGGGCCTTAAAGAATAAATTGAAACATGGTAACACAAAAAAAAAACACACACAGCAATTTCTCACTACACTCTAAATATGATGCGATCCATATCTGGCTAGCTATGTATTTAATTATAATGCTCACACGATATGTAAAAGTTGTTGTGTCTTGTTTTAATTGTAATTCACGCTTTGCTAATTTTCGACTTTCCATTGACAAATATTTAAAATGCTTTTGAACTCAGAAAAAAGAAAAACACGCTAAAACAATTAGATCTGGCTTAGTGTAAGACGGTCCAACTGACGAATACCCTGTAACAGAGACGCGATTAAACAGCATTTAAGAAGACCTGGGCTTAGTTTTGGACAAAAAGGCTGAAAACAAGCAGAAAAGGCTTAACGCGCTTATCCCCCCTGTACTCATTTCTAGAGCATTTTACATAACATAACACATTTATTATGAAATGAATTTTCCAAATTTTAATTTTTAACGGATCGCACATATTTATATAATAACATTCCATTCTAAAAGGTGGCAACCTGTTAATTTCGTCTCATTTAGCGAACTCCACCCCCTCCCCCATTTAGTGGGTGCCGTGTATAAAATAATATCAGCGCTATGTTAGTTATAGAACACGCCTCCATCTCGCCCCTTTAAAAGCTGTTTGTGGTTAATGACACAGCTGCAGTTGCAGCGGGCGTCGACGTCGACTGCGACGTCAGCGTGTGTCATAACGTTAAAGCTGAGCAGAATTACCTCACAGTCTGTTGTTGATGCAGCTCTTGTTATTGTTGTTGTTGTTGTTGTTGTTGTTGTTGCGGGCCATTTGTCGCTCGATTGTTTGCATTTATTTTGTATAAACTTATTTCTCGCATATTTCTGTACGTTGACCAACTGTGCCAACTGGACTTTCTAATTGCTGTTTTGTCTTTTGTCTGTTTTCGTTGTTGCTATTGCCGTTTTGCAGACGCTGCTGCTCTCGTTATTGTTGTTGTTTTTATAGCTGGGCTTTTAATGCGCTCCATTGCTCCCTTGCCCTCCTCACACACACACACACCACAGCGACTTAGCAAAGCTGCGCTGTGACGGCCAGTTATTTTTGTTATTGTCGCTTGTTGTTGCCATCGATTTTTATGCCTTGGCAACAACAACAATAACTACAGCAACAACAACAGCAGCAAGCTTGTCTTATGTAGTATGCACATAGAAGGCAAGACATCATTTTACAATGCTACTTATGTCCACACACACACTTAAACACACACACACATACACACACACACACATTTACAGCTGCGCTTAAACATCAATAAAAATTCAAATATGTTCACAATTTCGCACTTTGCGCCGCGTGGGCAACACATCAACGTCAACATCTCTTTCATCTCAAACCAGCAGAGGTCAGAGAGGGATAAACACAGAGAGAGAGAGAGAGAGAGAGTTGTTCAGCTGAGCTGCCATTAGCTGCTAATGTAACCCATATTACATCACATTTAGCTTTTTCTATAACTAACAGCTACTTAGTATAAACATTCGTACCGCCGTGGCCCATGGGAAAAGTGCAATCAATTAGAGTCATGCACGGCTCGGTCAGGGCCGACCATTTTTGGCCAAATGTCAAGTGTTGTGGCCATGGCCGGCAAGGCCCATGAGAAAGAGCAGTCTTTAGACATAAAACCTATGTTTTCGATTACATTCAATATACATAGGTATTTTATTAACAGCTAACGTTGTTTCAGTTTATAACAGCCATTTAACATTAAAGATTCGCTTTTAACAGACAATTAACATTATATGTTAGTTATTAGAAGCCACAAACTTTAAAGTCGCTTGCAAATAAGAACGCTTAAGTTTCAGAGTGCATTATAAGATTAAAAGTAGCAGATGGCAAGGGCATTACTCTTTTTGCATAAAAGGCAAACTTGTACTTTCCAAGCTTTTAAGAACGCAAACTGAATGGCAATGTTTAACAGCCTTCTATCATATAAGTTCTTGTTCTTAAAACTTGTTAACATAACATGACCATGTAACATAGCGTCCGTTTTTAACATCAGCTCATTCAAATAATATGCCCCATTCGACATCATGAAATTTGGGCTTCAAATTCACAGCTGAATTTTCACTCCAGCAGCTACCTTAACAATATACATTTTTGTTTACAGCTTAAATAAACAACTATTGCAAATGCAGATATTTTATTGGCATAATAAACAAATAGAAATCACCTTGAGAGGCAAAGGGTTTTTAACATGCTTTCCATTATCTTCTCATCCGCATTATATTTAAGATCTTTTGTTTGGTTTTTAGAAACTGTTGAAAGTTTTCTTGGCGATTGATTCAATGATGATGCGAGAAACTGGCGCCGCTTAAGCTTTTTTTTTTTACACAAATTTTTATAGGCACTTTTGGCAAGGATTTTAATTGCGGCAGTTTCGTGGCCCTTGGCGTTGCGGCTGTCGCCAGCATTTCCTGCGCTGCCAAATAGTAATAAAATGAAGAAAAACGCAGTCTTAAATCACCACAAATATCATTTCCGTTGCGCACAGACAGAATAACGCAGTGCGCATTGTGCAAGTCCGCACAAAACTAGCTTCCCCCGACTCCAATGGAGTCCATGGCGGCTATCAATTTGTGGCCCTACGTGCTGGGCATCCCAAGCGTGCGAGCGCTGCAGTTGCAGCCAGGCAACTCGCATGATATGCTAATGTATAGTGAATGTGGCTAATCGGTATTCAAATAAGCAGCGTATGGCCAAAGACCTGGTCTACGACAAGCCAAGTGCCGGAGCGCGAAACTGAAAGTCAGATGAGTTTCTCAACTCAATCGCGACGGTTCACAGTCTTTGGCCGCTGCATTCAAATGAGGCGCAAACTGAAGGTGGGGCTAACACGATTAGATAATAGATGGGCTTTGTTTTGTGCTTGTGGGATTAGGGACTGCCCTAATATTTGGTAACCGATCAAATGCTAATCAAATTGCTACATCTTTACAGACCCTAAACACTGCCGTTGTGCAGATCTACAAGACGGAGGGCAATGCGCACTCGCACTGGAAGAAAAAGCACACGGGCGTCGTTTGCTTTGTCAAGGATAGCGCCATACGATCCTATTTTTTGCGCGCCTACTGCCTGATCAAAAACGAACTGATTTGGGAGCATGAGATATACGATGGCATGCAGATTGTCAAATCGCGTCCCTTTCTGCTAACCTTCGAGGGCAGCGTAAGTGGTCCAATAAACTTGAAAATTGCAAAAACTTATCTTGTACATTCCTCTAGGACGGCAACGTGGGCTTAAACTTTATCTCGGAGGATGAGTGCGATTCGTTCTTCCGCGTCCTGGACGCCACAATAGAAACCCGAAATCGCAAGCGTCTGGAGAAGCGTAATAGGCAAAAGTCCCAACAAGCTCCCAATGCGCCAATGCCGCCAGTGTCACGAGAGCCAGCGCGTCCGCCCTCCATTATAGGCAAGAGCCCGATGCCGACGACAACGACGACGGCAGTAGATAGCGGTGCCGTGCAGCTGCGCAACAATAAAATCAACTCGGTAACGCTGACACCGGCGCCCGCGCAGCCACCAACCAAAAACTTCTTGTCGAGCAACTTTGGACTGAGCGGCTCGGCGGGCAAGGATAAGAAACGCAAGGTGACCAAAGCGGATATTAGCCAACCGACGAATTTTGTGCATATCAGCCATGTGGGCTGGGATGCGAACAAGGGCTTCGATTTGACGGGCAATGAGAGCGATGAGATGCTGACCAAGTTCTTTGCCAAGGCTGGCGTCTCCGAGTCCCAGCTAAACGATCGAGATACACGCGCCTTCATCTATGACTTTATACAGAGCAATAATGTGCTGGCCTCGGTCAAGCAGGAGGAGATTGAATCGCCCACGGAACCAACGCAGCATATGCCGCCACCGGTGCCGAGTCGTCATCATCCACATCATGTACGTGACACTCACTCACACTCAACACATTTGTATTCCAATTAACACAAACTTGAATTTTTCTGCAGTCACAGAATGGCAACCAAAGATCCGCACCGCCGCCTCCACCGGTGCGACAGCCGCCGCCACCATTGCCGACAACGGCACCGGGAGCAGCACGCGCACCACCGCCACCCAGCAGACCGCCACCCATTAATGCGGCTCCACCGCCACCGCCACCACCAACGGTCTGCCCGCCCGCAGCAGCGGTAAGTTATGATTTAAAATGTATTTCGATACTTAAAACTAATGTCATTGCCTTACAGCCGCCTCCACCACCGCCACCACCTCCAGCGGCTGCGCCACCTCCTCCACCGCCACCACCACCCATGGCCGTGGCGGAAGTGCCGATTATTGCGTCAACGCAACCATCGGCTCAGGCCAGTAAAATTGCGCCCGAAGTGGACACGCGCAATGCGCTTATGGATGCCATACGGAAGGGCAAATCGCTTAAGGTATGTGCAACACGGTTTTATTTTTTGAGGAATCATAATAACCATAAATTGTCGTTACAGCCGGTGGAGCCAGTAGCTACGAGCAGCAATAGTGTTGATCCGCGCAACGATCTACTGGGTCAGATACGTGAGGGCTTCACCTTGAAGCCAGTGACTGAACGTAAACTACCTGAACAGCGGATCAGTGATGGTAGCGCTGGTGCTACCGATGCCCTGGCCGATGCACTGCGTCGTGCACTTGCGGCACGTGGCACAGTCATGCATTCAGACGACGAGGAGAGTAGCACATCCTCGGACAACGATTGGTCCGAATAGATTAACAACTAGGCGGCCATTAGAGATGATTGTTGGCAAACACATTATTCCAAATATAAGCAATAATTTTATTTGTGCTTTGGCATTTTGATTTATCGCCAGATAAATCACTGTAAATACTGTTTAGTGAATTTTTCATACCTCTTTAATTTAATTTTTCTAAAAACTGTTAAACAACAAACAAAATACGCAAATTTATTAACACAAGTTAAAAAACTAAAGAAAAAATAACGAAAATAATTATGATTGCATAAGAACTATTTGTTTTTCACTACCAATTCACATATGCATATAATTCCTTTTAATTGCTCAAAAAGAAACGAAATTCATAATCAAAAATGACTTAAAATTATCAAAAACAAAACAACAATATTTATGTACATACATATGAATATGTATCCACAACAATAAACCTAAAATATATATCTGCATGTGCTTAACTTGTTCAGAGATGTGCCAAAAAGAAAAACAACTATTAATATGCCCCTGTCAAAAAACAAAAAAAAACCCGAAGCAAAAGTCTGTATATAAGACCTAAGATATATTTTCTGAAAATATGCTTAATTAAACTAGTTAGTCGCGGCCCATTTGGAGTTGTCTTATAGAACTTGAACTAAGCCTAGACAAATGCGCGAACTGAGGATTTTTTCAAATCAGCGTTATAATAACTAAATGTGAATGAATATGTATGTTTTATTCAATTTAATAACAATACTAATAAACATAAAATTGTAATTCAAAAAATTGAAATATTGCAATTGCAACCCCAAACTGACTAATCGAAATTGCAAATTTATTAACATTTATTAAACAAATTTTTTGCTCAAAACAATAAAAAATTCAATAATTAGCAAAATTGTTTGAATAAGTAACAAGATTATAATAATGGTGTATAATACCCCCAATATAACCAGACCATAAGGCTTCCTAATCTTCTTCGAAAGATAATAATCCCCAGTTGTTTTTCTGAACCCACAACTAAGGGAATTTCGAACTATTAACTAAACTAATTCCAAGTATTAATGCTTTTAGTTAAAGTGCATTAAATGCAAATTTTTGTAGTCATTTCATTAAACAATACACACATGTGTTGAAATTAGAATAATTTTTTTTTGGACACTTGAGAGGTCGATGGTCATGTTGTATTAATGAATCGTTAATCTGTATGTGTGTGTCCACGAGTCGAAAGAGAGTTTTGTGCGATTTGTGTATTTAAATAAGTACATCTACGTACATGTATTCTATATATATATATAGTTTTACATACATATATATTCTATAGTATTATATAAGCCATTAATTTATGTAATTTACGTAAATAAAGTTGTGTATATCTAACTTAAACTAATTGCCGCTTTATATGCATTACTTTATTCGAATTTTGGTAAAGTATATATTTATATACATAATACGAGTATTATGCGTTTAGGTTAAGGATTCAGCATGGAATATATGCATTTCATATGTACAAAGTGGGTCGATTTATGGCCTCTATAAATGTGAGCGTATGTTTTTGCTTAACTATGTTAGGATTTATTATCTAGCTTATGGTATAGGGTTTTCCTGAGCCACATTCGCATCGTCATTGAGCTCCCGTTCGATGTTGGCATTATTATTATTTTCGGCTATTTCATTGATATTCGAATCATCGTTGACTGCCAACCGCGGCTGCTGCAGTGGCTGCAGCTGCTCCTGCTCCTGCTGTACTTGCTCCAACTGCTGCTGCTGTTGCTCATTGATGCGATTCTCAGTCTCTTCGTTGGCGCTGCGCTCGTCTTCAGCGAACGTCTCAATATAGGCTCTTGTTGTCGATGCTTCTGTATTCGCCTCATTCACCTGCTGCATTTGAACACTTGCAGACAGTTCATGGTTCAGCACATTCTGTTGCTCCTCAGCGCAAGAGTAGTTCGATGAGCTGGCAAAGAAAGGCTGCGCCAGCGTTTCATTATCCTTTGGCGCGCTAAGCGTTACAACTGGACACGTGTTTTGCTCCTCGCTATTTACGTTTTTCTCAGTTGCTTCTGCCTGAGATAGCTCCTGGCCGTTGTTTGCGCTCGTCTTGTTGTTACCTTCCATTGGCTTCTCCTCTGCCTGACTACAAACGCTGGTGATGACAAAACTAAAAAGTGCTGCATTGGCTGGTTCCTGTTCCGGCTCCGTATCTGCACTCTCAGAAGCCAATTGTGGCACTGATTCATCTTGCGGCTCCAAAACATTGTGCTCCGTCGCTAGAGCAGGCTCCGACTCCTGTGTCATATCCTGTGGCTCTATTTGCGCAGTTTCTAACTTGCTTTGCGTTTCTGCAAGATTTTGATTTAATGCGCTGGTTGTTGGCTCCTGTACCACATTCTGTGCCTCTCCTGGAATCATTTCTGTGCGCGGATCCACTGGCAATATTTCCGTGTGCACCACACCCTCAGTTTCCATGGGCAACATTTCTGGCTGCGGCTCTATTGTCATCATATCTGATTGCGGATCCACGGCCAATATTTCCGACGTACTTTGCGCTTCTGGAGCCGGGTTTTTACTTGGACTTTGCTCCTCCAATGGCGGCAGCTCAATTTCACGATAAATGCGCTCCTCCGGTTCCTCGTACGTGTCCATGTTTTCCTCCTCAGCTTCATCCGCAGACGATGCGCTTCCATCGTCATCCTCATCCTCGTCGCTGTCCTCACTCTCGTGCAACCCATTGTAATGTATATTGTCAGCTTCGCTGCCATTGATATCGACATCGGAGATATGCAAATCCTTCTCCTGCTTAATAATCACATTACTGAGATCTAGACTGTTTATATAGGCAGACTCTTCGTCTATTTTCTCATTGTGGTTGATCTCATTAGATTTTTCAGCTTCGTGCTGTTCTGCTTCTTGTTCGCCTTGCTCACTCCATTCCTGCTCATCCGCATAGCCACGGTTCAGTGGCTCCGGCTTGATGGCAGCCGCATTGAAGGGTACCGAGGCGCCACTTTCCACTGCCACAATTTGTGGTAGTTGCAGTTCAGATGGCCGTAGACTTGAAGAAGATGCAACCTCACGTGGCACGCCACCGCCGGTGCTTTTACGTGCTGTGGACTTGGTTGCAGTTTTCTTGAGAGGCTTTGTTAGTTTCTCCATGTGATCTTCGTTGGGCACTGCCTCCACGGCGCTCTCTGGGGGCATTGCCTCCTCTGCCATGACCACACCGCTGGCTATATGCGTTATTTGCATTATACGGTCTAGCTCTAAGCGATTCGGTTTTACATCTTCCAGCTCTGCCGTCGCTGTTGACGCCTCTTGGTTTAATTCACTGTAGTTGCCCCCTAGCTGGAGCATGGGTATGCTCGTCATAACCGTGGCCTGCGGTTCGTACTCGACCTGTGGCACACAATCACCCGCATAGTTGTCATCCAAACGCTCCTGCTTGATGGACACAATTGCGCTGCCTGCAGCTTCTACTGTTTTTTCGGTTGGAGATTCATTGGGTGCTGTAGCCGTTGGCGTCGCTTTGTCGCCAACTTCGGACTCCTTATTACGCTCCTTATGCTTTCGTTTCTTTTTCTTTTTAGCACTCTTTGACAGCACCTCGTTGTCATCATCATCTACGATGGATGAATTGAGCTGCCCATGATTTTTGGTTATCTTTAGCTTCAGCTTGAGCGGCTCTTGTTTTATTTGTACGCCATCGCTGCTGGACATTGGCTGCTTCTCATAAGATTCATCAAATGACTCCTGCTTTACAGAGACAATTGGTGCAATTGCTACTGCATTGGCACTGCCACTGGCCGCATCCTCATCGCTGTCATCGTTGCCTGCATCTGCGTGGAAATCATCACAGGCAGATGGGTCGTCATCTGGCTCGCTTTCGGGCTGCTCCAATGCAAGCGGCGGTCCGGTATCATCGATGTGCACCTCCGGCTCATGTTTAATACTAACAAGCGTGCTCATTGTATTTTTTAGCAACTGATCGACGCGCTTCAAATACGTTTTAGATGACACACGATCACTGCTTCGGCCCAGCGAGCTGGCCACAGACGATTCGCGCAATAGCGGGGATGCTAAGCGTTCGAGTACGACTACTGGCTGCATGTCTCCCGCCTGCGTGTATTCGATGGACGAGTGATTATTCTCCTCGGCGTCCACATCGTTTTCATTCTTAATGCGCATCTGCGCTTCATTGTCAGCTGCCTCGGGCATTATATGCTTGGAGTGATTTAAATAAATCTTAGCACAGTGCGGTGCATGGCGCATATAGGCGATTTCACTGTTGAGCAGACGACTGCAGCCACCACATTGGCGTGTGCGCCGGGCACAAGGATGTGTATTATAAAAGAAATTTGTTAGAAACGTTTTCCTGCACAGCGGGCACTCGCGGTCAAGCACCAGCGATTCGATGGGCGTGGGCGATGTGTGCTCCCGCAGATGTCGCGTGTAGGCATAGTTATTTGCAACGATTGCATCGCACAGCGGACACTGGTATGGCGTCTTTGAAAGTTTATGCCAGAGCTGATGGGCTTTGATATCGCTGAGACTGTGGTGACTCTGATTGCAGGCAGTACAAGTGTAGCGCAATACAGTGGGCACATGTGATGTCGCCTTGTGTTCCTCGACCAGCTCCTTGTTCTCAAAGCGTTCGCCGCACACGCTGCAACTTGCCTTACGGGCTTTCTTCGCGGACATAGTAAATTTGACAACCTCTGTGGGCTCTTCCTTGCTGCGCATGAAAATAGTACATTTTTAAGATTAGGATTTATGTGGTTCCCATAAGTTGCTTACACTTCAGTTTTGCTCGGAGCCAGCTGTTGGTGCTGCAGGCGCAGCTTCTTCCGCCAGTTGAATGGCTCATTTTTGACGGCATCCAACGCAATATTCATCGTTGTGGACTTTGCGCTGGTGCTGGGAGCTGTTAACGCAGAGTCCTCCGTTTTACGTTTACGCCCACGCTTCGCAGGTGTAGCGACTGTTAGCGGCTCCTTTTTAAATATCGGCTTGACATCCAACATCTGTGAATGGGACATAATTCGTTGATGGGTCGGTATGATTGTGGACTGTGGGTACTGCTTACCTTTTGTGTATCCACATCTTTGAGGCCAAGTAGCTTCCGCGTTTGATTGTTTGTCGCGAAACACATTTCTCGAAACTCGTAAAAATCATTGATTTTATCTACGCATAGGCTGCACATTGTCTGCGGCATTTTATCGTCCTGTGTCACCTGCAAATGGGGTGTTGTTTTCTAAATTACGCCACGCCCCTTAAATGGATATATGTGCCTTACCACAAAGCCGACCAGCTCATAGACTTTTTGGCTCAAACTGGGCTCGTCCAGGTCTATAACATCGCTTTCATTGGGTAGTATTGGCACCTTGGACGGATTATCGATGCCGCACAGACGACAGATCTTGTACAAGTTCGCCTTGAGAGCCGCATCAATCTTGAAAGCGAAGCGCTCCATGATGATGTCGCGGTTTATTTAACTTTCTGCTTAAGTGCTTATGCTACATATTTACTGTTTAACTTGCAGCAAAACTGTTCATTTTTTTTTTGTTTATTACCCATCAAAACAAGTGTGGCCAGGCAATGGTTTGTGGCATAAGTACGGTCACTCTTGCCAGGGCTGCAGTGGTAGCAGGGAAGCAGGTTTAAGGATATAAATAAATCAGTGGTAATAAGAGATATTGGTAATGCAGTTAGTATAAGCTTGAAAAAAATTATAAACAAAAGAGTTAAAAAAGTACGTAAAATAAGCATGTTGCCATTTGATTAGAATGCCTAAAAGTGCTAAGCAAAATTATAGATATTAGATGCAAAGTTGCACACATATTTTGATTTTTTTTTAAATTTAAATCTAAGTTTTTTTTTAACAATTTGAACTGTGCGGTAAGTGCGATATATTTCTTGCAATTATTAAATCCATTCAAGCATTTAAATTAAAAGTGCCAGTTGCAACAATGTCGATATTTAAACCAGTCACAATCAGGGTCAGGGCTGTCACATGTTTATGTTAATCTGAAACCGTACAGAACTTATAAATGTAATAAAGCTGGCCTTTGTTAGGGGGGGAAATTTTGTTAATAAATTATTTATAAAATGCAATTGGTTTTAATTAAATTGTGCGCAAAATCAAATTGAACTGAATGTGATTCGATGGTTCGCAGTCACCGGTAACAGATTTACCGATATTGACATCTCTACTCTGTCGTAAAAATTTTGTATACACAAGCCAACAGATCTCCTGAAGGGGCAACGAGCTAAACGGATTGTGCACAGAATAACACCATGGATCAGTATCTGAGTCGGCGAGAGAGCTGCTGGCTGCATCAGCATAAGCACACGGGCGATGAGAACTTATTGATGCGTCGCATTTACAGCTCGATGGGCATGTTTAACAGTTACCATTCCAATTGTAAACCTGGCACAGCCGGACAGGACACTGGTGCCATATTTAATCTGGAGTTTAATGCCGATGGCAACATAGTTGTTGCGGCCACGGAGCGCAAGTGCGTTCTGGTCTTTGATGCAATCACACAAAAGGAAATCTTCAAAATACCAGATGCGCACACAGACAGTGTCAATTGCATTAAGTGAGTATCCTTGGCTTTGAGCATCGTTTTCAGCAGCGCTTGTTATAATATTGTTTATAGATTTTATGATGATCGTCTGTTTGCTACTGGCTCGGATGACTTCACAGTGGCCTTGTGGGATCTGCGCAATATGAAGGAAAAACTGCGCGTTTTGCACGGTCACTCAAATTGGGTGAAAAACATTGAGTACTCCTCAAAGGACAACCTGCTCGTTACCTCTGGCTTTGATGGCAGCATATTTACATGGGACATCAAATCGCAGACAGAGCAGGGCCTTATCTCACAACGTGTCTTTCATGCCAGTGGTCTGATGCGCTGTCGCATCTCACCAGCTGGCGATAAGCTTGTCTTGTGCACCAGCAGCGGTTACATTATGATCGTGCATCACTTGGATCTGACCACATTACACAAGGATTTGTGTGGATTTAGAGTGAGTGACCATTTCGTTGAACTTCTCAAACTGTGCTAACTGGCAACTATGTGTACCCTTTTTAGCCTGGCATCTATAGACTTATGCAGCTGGGCGACCAGTATATACCTCAGGCCGCTAAATACGATCATGTATTTTCAAGGCACCAGAAAAAGAATCGCGTGGAGCTCGTTACCGATTTTCCCGAGCAAAACGATGCTGAAATGATAATGGCGCTGCAGATACATCCACAATGTCGCTGCATGCTGACGCGTAATGTGAGCTGCGATGAACAGAGCGAATGGACGTGCATACACGATATTAACGAGGAGCCCGAACCGATTGATGACGATAACGATGACGAGGACGAGCCCTTGACAAAAAAGAAGCGCACACTATTGCCACAGGCCAGTGACACAGACCAAGATGAGTCCGATCAGCGTTCACATGCACGGTCTCAAGTACGCCGCATCTTTTATCCACGCAGAGTGAATGGCACCATGTCGTTGGTCAGTGCGCGCTCCGATAGCTTCATACCGGACATCTGGGCGGCTGAGGTGACAGTGCAGGAGCGCGCCATACGCCAAAGTCGTGCACGCAACTCCACCAACCATGTCAGCGGCTATAATTTTGTGTACGCCATCAGTAGTGGGGTGCTGCCACTGCGTTCCTCGTTGGCCAGTCGTCTGCTGAGTGGTGCGGCACGTACCCGTGTTGCAGCTGGAGGTGAGCCACCAGATGCTCTAACCACAGAGACACCTGGCAGTCGCAGCAGTAGTAGCAGCAGCAGCAGCAGCAGTAGTAGTAGCAGCAGTAGCAGTGGGAGCGGCAGCAGCAGCAATGAGACCACCACAAGCCTTGACCTTGGCGTACCTTTACGCATGCGACCGCTCAGCAACATCTCTGCCGCTGCAGTGGCATCCTCGGGCGAGAATGCTGCACATACCATATTGGTGAATGCCAAAAAGCTGCTCTACTATGCCTCCGAAACGAACAACAAGCCTGGCTTTATCAAGGAGCCGGGCTTTTCAGCGGATGGCCGCATCATTTGCTCGCCTTATGCCAACGGTGTACGTCTGCTTGGGTACCAGGCTGACTGCAGCGATTATCCCAGTCAGCTGATGCTGGACCAGGTCAAGCATAATCCACGACAGCTGGTGGAGTTGGCCAACATTATTGAGCATCAGGATGTGGTGCTGTGTGCCAAGTTTAGTCCACGGGAACCACTACTAGTGACTGGCTGCAATGGTGGCGAGGTGGCCTGGTATCGACCATGTCTCTAAGAGCGCCTCAACTTGCTGCAAATCTGTAAATTTGTTTTATTCTTAGCTCCAGACACGTTTACTATTTACGCGAAAACAACAATAGTAATAATAATTGCCAATAAATTGTAAAACCAAAAGCAATTAGAGTGAACCGATTAAATTAATATCCTTTATTAATATTGTATAGAATTTGAATTTGTATTGGTTTTGTGAGGTTTCTTGTAGGCGTGGCTGTTTGCACATAATATTCACATATGTATTTAAGCACTTAGATGCTACATATTCTTTTAATTATGTATTTTTAGAATCAATTATAAAATTACAAATATCTTTACACTAGAGTTCAACGTAGCTTACGCTGACACTAACAAAAGCTGTGCGGATGCGGGGAATGACAATGACCGACTGCTAGACTGTCTTAGTAGTAGTTGCCATAGCCGCTCCACTGGCCATAATTGTAGCCGGCACCACCGGCACTGGCGCCCCCACCAGAACCATACCCACCGCCCCATTGATTATAGTAGGAGTCATAGGATTGCTGCTGCTGCGGCGGATAGGCTCCGCCGCTCTGCTGTGCATAATACGCGCCCGAGTTAACAGAATTGTAGTTGTAGTTGGCATTGGCTGCCGTCGGGCCCCCATTGTTGTAAGCAGCTGGTGCGGCAGATGAGCCACTGGAGGCAGCGGCGTTCTCCTTGGCGTTTGTAGAGTTCTTGCGACTGGGACTGCTGTCATTGCTGGTTGGGGATAAGAAAAGAAAAAGTTAGTTTCTTTTTAGTTTCAGTTCAGTCTAGTCGTACCTTTTCTTTGCTTCGCTGGCCTTGCTCAGTGCCAGTTGTAGCGCCCGTTGCGCATCCTGCAGTCCCCTGGCAGTGCTGCCGAAATCCTCTAGAAACTCGACTTTGCGCTGTGCAAAAAGCACCTTCTGATCTGGCTCAATGTCAGCGCGTGCCATAAACTTGTCCATAATCTGTACCACCTCCTGCTCAACAACTTGTGGCCGCTGCAAGCACAAATCAATCATTTGTAAGGCAACGCGTGTGTTGGCAGGATCGCGCTCTAACGCTTGCTGCAGTGCAGCCAGGCCAGCATCTAGATCATTGCAGATCTTATTAAGAAATCGGGCATATTTGATGGCCAAGCTGCCGGCAATGGCTTTGTTCTTGCTGTGCTCTATATAATGCTTGTATAGCTCACGGGCTTTGTCTAGGGAGCCGCGACGTCGCTCCACGTTAATGCGGCGATAGGCAATCTGTAAGAGATTAGGACAACGCTGCTCTATGCGCTCTAGCACTTCGGCGGCGCCATCAAAATTCAGCTGGCACTCCTCGAAAGCGGCCCACATTAAATGCAGACTCGGCTTCTCTGGATGATGGATGCGACAAGCGCGCCGATAGACATCGCGTGTGATATTCAATATACTTTGACTTTGGTCATTCAGTGACTCCAGATAACGCAGCATCTTCAGCCAGAACTCATCGTACAAGGCGCAGGCGATGAGACAACGTTCAAAGAGAACCAAAATGCGTTCCCGATCGCCCTTTTCGATCTCAAAGTCAAGATAATCTTTCCAGTTTTTGAGCTGTGCACGTTCCAGTGGCTTTACATGGAAATACGGCCGCTTGATACCCTCTTCGAAGGACCAGCGTGCAGTGACCGCACTGACCGTCAATTTGTGCAGCTTGCGGCGCGCCGATATGGCCTTGTCCTTGATGGCAGTTATCTCCTCCTCGCTTAGCGTGCTGAGATCGCTGAAATCTATGGGCGTCGTCTTCGATGCGACCGCGGATAATGACTCGCTTACGGTCAAATCGGTTGTAGTTGCTGATTCATCAGGCGTTTCACTAGTATCTTTGGGTGACTTACCACCAGTCGCTTCCTTATGCTTCGCATCGCGATCGCGATCACGTTCGCGCTCAACTTTCGAATCCTTTGAACTGGCGCTGTCGCGGCGACTTTTGGACGATGACTTGGAAGATTTGTTTAGCTGGCGTTCGTGCCATTCTTTTCGCAAACGCAACAACTCCTCGTTGCTAAGCGTGGCAGTTATTGCATGTTGATTTATGATATCCTGAAAGCTGCAAAGGGAGACAGATAATAATAGTCCATTTAATTTTTATAAAATCTAGCTAAACACTTACTTGTCAAAGTGGCCATTGTAGCCCTGGGTGGGTATGGTGAGTAGGCGATCGTAGATCTGGACGACGCGCTGATAACGCTTGGATTCGTTCTCCCAGCGTATGTACGCATCCCAGAGCTTGTCGGAACGAAACTCCAGGCCGCACGCCTGTACAGCTCGTTCGTATTGGCTGCGAATAAATTGTTCCTCGTCGCCATGATGCGATTTGATGTGCATCAAATAATGTATCCACAGATCCACCGACAAGGGTATAGCTTCCAGACCACGCTCAAATACCTACGTTTTTGATTTTTGTATTTTTTTTAAACAAAGTTTTTTTTTTTTTTGTTTTTTGAAACGGTTTCAGGTTTTTGATTGTTGAACGTAGAGAAGAAATAGAAATGTTTACAAAGATTTGAAAAATACTTGAACAGCTTCCGGACTTAACACTTAAAAACTAACTCGGATTGTTCTTGTTGTTGTAATTGTAGTGTGCCTTAGATGTTAACTTAATCAGCTTAAATATGCCTAATTAACAATACATAAATACATAAGTAATATAGACACACACACAAAATATAACACACGTTTTTGTAAAAAATATTTTAGATTTTTTTTTTTTTTTTGCACAGTGAGACTTAAAAATTTCATTTAAACGCCATTTGTACTTACTTACGGCTTCACGAGAGAACGTGTTGTAGGAGTTGAAGGAGTTGTATGGTGATAACGATAACGATAACGTGCGAAGTAGAGCAGAGAAGTTGATAAACGAACAGGCGACTAACTAGTCGAATGCGTGGGGTTGGGTTTACTTTTATATATATATATATATTTTTTTTCTGTTCTAAAACAACGTACGTTGTGGAATACATCGAATTTGATGTGTAACTGCGTCCATTTCGTATGAGCCACAATATTACTAGTAAAACTAGACCGATAATCGTAAGTGATGTGTTAAAACAATAGTGAGCTTGCTTTTCTATCTAGAGTAACAGCTAAGTGAACACACATAGACAACATGAAAAAAAAAAATGATGTAAAAGACACACACTGAAAAGGACGACCATTAAGATCCCAGGCCTACGATTGAGTAATCCAAAGGTTATGCGGGCAATTCGAAGATCAAGGTGGAGTACTAAGCTTATTGGAGCGTTTGCTCAAAATCTGAAAATCGCAGAGTTTAAAATTGTTCAAAAATCTTTGTCTCTTAGTTCGACACTCCCGATTAAGTGTCTCATTAATTTGTCTTTCAATATTAACAACTAAATTAAGTAGTTTCGAAGGGATTTTCAAAATTATTGAATATATTAACAATACAAATACAATTTAAATCAAATGTATTATATTCATGAATTTTTATGAATCAAAAGAAAACTAATTCAGGACTAAGAAATCAAAATCACCTGTGAAATCCAGCATTTTGCTCTTCATTATGCCAGGTTCCAACAGGGCGACTCCGATTTACATTTAGCACATGTATTCAAGAGCATAATTTACGCGATTTTAAGAAGAAACTCCTTTCGGAACACTATATTGAGGGTGTACTGTGTACACACAACGGCATAACCAGTGGATTGGGCAATCGGGATCCTGTCCTATGCTGAGACTGACCCTGACACTGACCTCTGACTAAAGGAGATGGATCAGTTGTGTTCTATATTATCTTGTTTGTTTTATTCTTTCTGCAATTTAGTTTGTTTTGTTTTGGTAATCGTTGCTTTTATTGAATGTAGATTTTTTATTCAGTTATAATAAATTGCATTATAACAAATATGAAATATCAATTGTCGTAATCGTAATAGTAAGCATAAAACAAAGAATCGCAAAGTTGTTTAATTGCATTGAATTGTGTGGGGTACTCACCTTATAACAGTTGGCCTTGATGCCCTTGCGCTTCTCATAGTCCGCATACTTGCGCCAATAGCCATAACAGTAGGGATAATGCGACAGGAATGTGTCGTAGGCCTCGCGCGCCGCCTCAGCATCGGACTAAAATTAGAGATAACCGAATTACAAGTTGATTAATGAGTCTAAAGATGAGGATATGTGTGCGCCAACCTCGCTGTCCACGTATTGGAGCAAATATGTCCAGCCTGTAAAATCGGATGGATCGTCTTTGACGACACGCCAATATTTATCGAGATCGGGCAACTTTTTCCGTTCTTTATCTTTTTCCTTCTCTTTATCTTTGTCCTTCTCCTTCTCTTTGTCCTTTTCCTTTTCTTTGTCTTTATCACGCTCTTTATCCCTTTTTTGGCTATCCTTTTCCTTTTCCTTGTCTTTGTGCTCAGCATCTGTTTGAGAAATTTATAGATTTGAAAACAGTTTTTTTTTTCTAGATTTATTATCAATTCTCCCACCTTCATCAACTCTGGGTCGCTTCTCTGAGGGCGGCGCATCGTTACTCTCTGAGGTTGGACTTCCGGGATTGTATTGTTCAGTTTGTTTGACTTTTGTGTTCGTTTCGCTGTTGCTTTGCTGCTGCTCGTCATCAATTTTTTCGTGCGTCTCATTCGCATCTCTACCCGCTTTACGCTTCCCGCTTCCTTTTGACTCGTTATTGTTGTTGTTATTGTTGTGCGTGGGTAATTCATCTTCGGATATGACCTCGGCATCGGCGGGCAGCTCTGCACGCTGTGGAGCTGGCAGCTCCTCATCGGATACCTCTTCGGCATCATTGATCTCCGGTTTGGTGGGTGGCGGTAGTTCATCTTCTGAAATTATTTCCGTGTTTACAATTGTCGCATTGCTTGTATCCATATCATGGTCAATTTCATCGCCTAAGCTCTCGGCAATGGCATGATGCGAACTAGAATCTTCAGATGAGTTGTGTTTGCCATCGGCGGGCTGCAGTGCATCTGACACATTTGACTCAAAGTTAGCTTTTTTTGTGTTCGTCTCGCTCTCATCATTGCCGCCCACAGAGGGCAAACTGTTGGCATTATCGCCGGCCAATGAGGCCAAAAGCGAGGTATCCACACCTTCTTCGGTTCGACTCTCTTTGACTTCATCGCTGGTTTCTGAATGCTGATCGGCAACAGCACCAAAGGGAAATGAAGAGCTCTTCTCATCTACGCCGGCGGTTGTTTCGGCTGTGGCCAACATTTCCACATCGTCGTCTAGATTTTGCTGCAGTTGCGCAAGCTCATCATATTGAATCTCCTCAATAACACTAGTAACTGGTGCTTCTGTTCTAGCCTGCTCCAGTTCCTCCTCATCGGTCTGCACCATAGCTGCCAGATTATTGACTTCGTTTTCCTCCTCGTGATCGCTTAACTGAAAGAGAAGAACTCTTTTTAGATAAAACTGTCGTCCAATGAGCTTGCATTAGCTGCCTCTCGAACTCTTTTCTTGGTTTGATTTATCAGTTGGCCCTTGCAGAGAATCACGTGGAAACCATCATTTGCGAATGGAACAACGCCACATCCGCATGAAGATGCATGTTTTTCATCAAATACAAACCGTACAGAAAATTGTTTGGGCAAGCATATGAATGTGTGTGTGTGTGTGTGTGTGTGAGATACTGACCTGCGCTTGCCGCTTAGATGTGCGACGCGTCGTGCGCGATGGCGCTGGTGTGGTTGCCACCGGTCTGCCGGAGCGTGTGCGCCGCGCTAAAAAGTGTAGAATAAACTATTAAGACACTTATGATAAAGTAACCACGTTTCTGTACATAAATTGTAAATATGTACATATGTATGCGTAAGCAGAGCTCTGCACAATGTGGTGGGTTTTTACGTATGCACCGCGTGATGTTCACGTTTTTTCAACATAAAAATGCTTTACAGCTGCTGAAATATTTACGCTAAGCACGAAATAACACAATAGCAATATGATTTATAGTTCACAGCGCACTGCAATCCAGTATATTGCATGTTTTTCGTGTTATTTTACCTGAATTTTCTATCACAACGTTTTCGTCTTGTTCAGACGCCATTTTTGTAATTGTGGCACACGCAATGTGGTCACACTATTATAAAACTGGTAACAACAACAGTGTGGCTGTAGCGATTTAAGTAAAAATGCTTAATGCTTTATATAAGAGCAGTCTATCGATAAATATCGCGTGTGCAACCCTTAGCCGCAAAGGCGTCGCGTCTTACAACACTGTTTGTCAAAATGGCGACTTGAGAATTCATAGCGTGACAAAAACAAAGCGCATTTCACAATATTTTTGGTGTTTTTGTGCAATATTTAATCGTTTTATCGTACAAAACCATCCGAAATGTGCAAATTAATAGTGCTGTGACTGCAAACAATAAACCAGTGTATGAAATTGACCGACGTCAGCGCTAGAAATTAAGAAACGCCGACCGCATAACCTTTACGTGTCGCAGTTGCGAATGGAGTGTAAAGGAAAAGCAAAGAGAATGAAAGAAGAGGCGCCAAGCAAAAAATTGCCGCCTAAATTATATGGCGGCGACTATGCGGCTAATGCAAGCACACCCACCAAAGCAGCCCACGATGAGATACTCAGCTCCCTGCTGCGCATTAATAATTTTGACTCCATATCGAGCATTAAGGACGAATCACTGGACATTGATCTGTCCGCTTGCGTGACAATCAGCTCCGCGAGCTTCATCAACGGCAACAGCCTCTCCTCAACGGACTTTTGGCGTGTGCTAGACGAGAGCGCCCAAAATAACACCGAGCTCAATTTATCTGCCGACGTTGGTCGCGATGAGCTGACCGCCGCCAGTCCCAGTGCAAGTTCCAGTGTAGCCAACGTGGCGAACCTATCAAATGGCAGCGCCAATGACAATACCAATTCGGAGTTTAATGTTACGTTTTTGCGGCCGGAGCCGCCAAATGCGTTTACCAATTCACCCTTTAAAAAGATAACAACGACGCCAGTGAAGGTACCCTCACCTGACCAAATGCAGGTGCAGCCGGGTCAGCCACAGCAGCCGCAGCGGAAGACCCGGCTGCCAGCAGCCACAGCGCTGCGCTTGCAGGTATTCAAGGAAGAGCCGGCCGTGGAGAAAACCGCACCAATGCAGGCCACAAAAGCACAGGTGTTGACCAAAGTGGAGCTTTGCGAGACGGAACACATGCCCCATGCATTTACCATATTCCAACAACAGCAGCCGAATGAAATGCCGCCACCAGCAACGCCTTTGGAGCAGAGTCCGAAATTGGAGGTGGAAGCGCCTCCGCCGCCACTCTACAAGTGCCTAGACTGCAATGGCTTGGTGCTGGATAATCAACAGCTGGTGAGCACACACAAGGCAGCCGCGCACCGTTTGCGTATTACCTACAATTGCACCGAATGTCAGCGTGAGTTCGAGCTGCTGGCGGGCCTGAAGAAGCACCTGAAGACGCATCGCAGTGAGGGTCGTAAGGATACCTGGAAAAAATGCCCCGACTGCGGCAAATGGTAGGTCCAAAACATCAGTCAATCATTTGAGCTAACATCAATGAAAACATTTTCAAATTTTCAGCTTAAAACTGGGCAGCATGTGGATGCATCGCAAGATACACAGCGACAACAAGAAGTACCAGTGCGATATCTGTGGCCAGAAGTTTGTGCAAAAGATCAATCTGACGCATCATGCGCGCATTCATTCCTCGGAGAAGCCGTACGAATGCCCCGAATGTCAGAAACGATTTCAGGAGCGCTCACATCTGCAGCGCCATCAGAAATATCATGCCCAGACGCGCTCCTATCGCTGCGAGAAATGCGGCAAAATGTACAAAACCGAACGCTGCCTAAAGGTGCATAACTTGGTGCATCTGGAGCAGCGTCCATTTGCCTGCACCGTGTGCGACAAGAGCTTCATTAGCAACTCGAAGCTGAAACAGCACTCGAACATTCATACAGGCATGCGGCCCTTTAAGTGCAACTATTGTCCACGTGACTTTACAAATTTTCCCAACTGGCTGAAGCATACGCGACGTCGCCATAAAGTGGATCACAAGACTGGTGAGCATCTCGAGAACATTCCCTCCTACTGCTCCAAGAAATCAACGACAACGAAGGCGCAGAAAGCAGCCGCCGCCGCCGCTGCCGCAGCAGCAGCAGCTGCATCAACGTCTGCAGAGGATCCACTGGGAAAAGCTGATGCAGAAGCTCAGCCCAGCAGTGAAACAGCCAAGGCGCCAGTTAGCAACGCGTCCGCAACAGGAGTTAAGCAGACACGCAAAAAGAAGCAACCGCAACAAGCTACACTGGCCGCTTTGGGCATCACATTGCCAGCGGGCACAGCACTGCAGCAGGTGCATCCGCCGCCGGACCGAAAGTTGTCAACTGCTGCGATGGCACAGCTGCCGCCACCGTCGCCATCAGTTTCGTCCGCACCTCCCAAGCAATTGAAGGCCAAGCGCGAACGCAAACAGCTGGCGCCCAAGCAGTTGCAACAAAAGCCACCGCCAGGCACTGGCGCGACCGTAGCAGTGCCGCAGATTAAGAAGGAGCCGTTGCAGACACAGGGGCCGTTTCTGGATTTGCACGGCCTCAGCTTGACGTCAGCTGAAGAGCTAATTATGGAGCAGGCGCTGGAGATGGAAGAGTGTGGTCTATATGATGCGCCCGTTGTCAGCACAGACATGGGTACCTCTGACAATGCCATCTCCTCTGAGGCAGCCGCCGCCCTGCACTTTCAAATAAAAAACGAATTACCCGATGAACTGCTACCTGACGACGATTTCTGTAAGTCCTTTAGTTGTGAATTCTATATCAATTATATATTAAAGTGTCATTCTTGCTCTTACAGTGCCTCATAAGCCGACCAATGGCAATCGTTTAGCTTGTCCCTCGCTCGAATCATCACCGTTCTCTTCGCCCGCATCCATGGAATTGGCAGCGGTCTCCACCAGCAGCACAACCTGCTCGACATCAACGCATGTGAGCACTGGTCGCACCACCAACTACTATCTGCCTGCCTTTACACTAAATGCGCAAGGCAAATTGGCCAGTTGCACGAGCACTGGAGCTGCCATCAACAGTTCAGGGCCCACCACGGTTTCGGTGGTAAATATGCCCCTATTGGTGCATTCGAATCAAATGTTACCCTCGGTGGATACACTGCTGTTTACTTCGCAGCCAGGCAATCGATTCTTCTCCGGCAAGCCAACCGCTGGCTCACAAGCTACGGCGGCCGCGCCACATATGACATGATCGCACGACGGCTGTTAGGCCGTCGTCAACGTTTCAACGATCTCCTGTGTCTTAATTAAGCTAGGGTTTGCGACCACATCCGCTTTGCCAGAGTAAAAGGCAATGATTCGGATTATCTTGAGTATAGTCCTTAAATATTTAAGATAGATACGACGCTATGTTTATTTTAGTAATAGACCGTAAGCAATCTTCTATATAGAGCTAAGCAACAATGTACATAGAACTATACACGCAGACATATGTATATATATAGAAATGCACATGTGTGACAGGTCTATATATGTATATGTATATTATGATTTACCACCAATACATTTATTATTTCTACGCTTAACACCAATTACAATAAAAAACAAAACAATAAAATTCACATTTTTATATATTTTTAGTAAACATCTGCTCAGTTCCACTGTGCTGCTCTCAAGCTGCTTGTCAAACTGTGTGCGTTTACCAAGTGCTACAAAACTGTATTCACTGCAGATTGCATTCGCTTGAGGGTATTCATTGTATATTTTACTTGTGGTTCGCCCTGTTGTTATTGCATCACCGACCCGCCAGTGCGCCGTTCAAATGGACACATATCAAAGGCAAGCGAAGCACTTAAACGCTTTGCCTCCGGTTGGGGTGGTTTTTGTGAGGCTTAGGGTGTCGTGGGGTGGGCACAGTGGCAATGTGGCCTGGCCTGGCCTGTGCCTGAGCCTCTGCGTGGCTAATAGGACGCACGACTTAACAGTTCAAACGATTTCTAAACAAAAAAGAGTATATATCTTTATATATATATGTTTTTTTCCTTTTTGCTACAGCTCATTTCAGCCTGAGCCTCCATAGATAGGTTGTGGCAACGTTTGCACTGGGTGGGCTTTATGTTTTTTTCTTTCTTTTTAGACCTTGATCAAAATTATATAATGCATCCACTGTTGACACATTATTTAACTAAATGATTAAGATCCCGTTGTATGTTCAGATCAGCTACTGTAGAGCACGAGCGTTGTGGGTGAGCGGGAGGGGTAATTCATATGTGCATTGCGCTCACAACATTGGTCGTAAAATATTTTATCCCGTTACCTTCGTCGTGAGCGGGGTGAGAGTAAGAGTTATATACATACATAGGTTGCGTGCTCTTGGTTGTTAATGTATTGGTGCTAAGGCCGGCTTAGAGACTATTTAGTTTGTGCAAGCTTCTGCCGTCGATCGTTTGTATCCCCTGTGCGTGTGTATAAAATCGTTTGCTAGCGAAGTTAACTTACATTGTTGTACATGTTTTATTAGTTTGTGCTCTGTGTAATTGGAAACTGATATATAAGACGTCTTCACATTCCCCGGCCTTAAAGGTAGATTTTAAAACAGTATAAATAAGTACATATGTATATTGGTAGTCGCTGAGTTTTGTAACAAAAAAAATTGGCGCGCTGTTGAGCTTGCGAGAGAAAGAAAGAGAGAGAGAGAGAGCAAAAAAGTATTAATGGTTAACAGCCGAGCATGCTCTGCATTTTTACAGAGTGTTAAGTGTCGTAATGTAAACGCGCAATGTGTAGCATATGCGTGATCAGATTGGAGAATTCGAAAAAATTGGGTGGATATATTTTTCTATGTATATAATTATCAATATAATTGCCCCAGACTCTCAAAAATTGTTGAGCACTTTTTCAATTTATGTGAGTCAGTCAATCAACTTAACAATGAGTTTCCGAGCTACGCCATCTGGTGTAGTATAAGGATTTGGTCTTGTCATTTCTATGTTGTTAGCTTAAAACATTATTTTATAATAACAAAAAATATTTAGGAAATCTTTTCATTTTTATGGGACTTACTAAAGTTTGCTTGAGACACTTGTGGCAGCACATGGAAATACCCAAATTCAATTGATTTATGTGGGGAACAAATATAAATTGAACCCAAATGCTACAAACATCGTTTTACATACTATATACATATGTTTATGGCAAATCTGTCGAGCTGCTTGCCATATTAATGAAATATTAAGGGTTGAGCAATTTGAAAAGCATAAAATTATTATGGCATGTGTCATACACGAAGTAGTTGAACCCTTTCATGTGGACAATCCGTACCGCCCCCACCCGCTCCGACACAACCCGTGCAGCAAACAGTAGCAGCAGCGGGTGTGAAGGGGTTAGCGCACAAAGGCAACGGCAATGTTGCTGACAATGTCGCGACAACAGAAATGACAGCATAATAATAATAAAAAGAAACAGTGAGTGTGTATGTGTGTGTGTGTGTGTGTGTGTGTGTTGTGGGTGGTGTGGTGGGTGTAGGTAGCTGTGAGGCATTGGCAACAGCAGCAGCAACAACAACCACAGAAATATCGAAGAGCATAAATAACTTTGCACAGACGTGTGGCATGTAGTTGCGTTTGTGTGTGTGTGTGTGTGCGGAAAATGGCAACGAGCGAGTTACAGTTAAACAACAACAACAACAACAAGAACAACAACAACAATGATGATGAGCAACGGTACAAGTGTAGGCGCCTGGCGTCTGTTTGCCAACGTTTTTGGCGCGTTTTGTAAATATTTACACATGTAGCAGTTACCTGTGATTGTTACCTATGTGCGGATGAACGGACGCCGCTGTTTATATGTAAATACATGTATTACGAGGGCAACTCAATGCGTTACCAAAATACTGCTACTTTACTCTATTATTATAATTCTATATTTGTATTACAAATTATATTTGTATACCCTGAAACCACAACAAATATGTAAAAAGGGTATGATGTTTTTGTGAAACTGTATGTAACAAAGGGGAAAAGGAGCAATAAAGTATATATATTATTTATTAGCATCAATAGCCGGGTCGATCTGGCCATGTCCGTCAGTCTGTCCGTATATATAAACGCGACACTCGTAAAACCATTAAGATTTAGAATCGTAAAATTATGAACGTAGTTGCTAAAAGTATATATATATATATATATCGAAATCCTTCTTTGAGAGCAAATCTCCTTCGTTAGTCGCCAAATTTGACAAGTAGCTTCTGGAGTAGTACTATATACAGTTGAAATAAATAGCTTTCATTTTATAGCCACCGACTCCTTAATATACCGTCTTATTTGCTTAAACATTAACATTAACATTAATATTAACATTAACATTAACATTAACATTAACATTAACATTAACATTAATATTAACTTTAACATTAATCATATGAAAATCTTGCTTATCAAAATATCGTAATTTGTTTATTTCTTTAGAAGATCCAAAAAATATAAAAAAAAACCAATTATTTTAATAAATTCCAATAAATATTAGTATTTTTACTACAAAAGGTTACCCAATTGTCAATATTGGTCTTAGGCAGTCGAATATAGCACAAACTAGTTTATTTTCATATTTTTGAAGTTCATCTTTTGTCTCTAAGTCATATTAAAGGACATCAATAAATACGATGTTTGCTTCGAATCTTGGTTTTCTATCTATAAGATTGATTGTATCCTTAGCCCCGGCTCAAGTTTCTGCACGAATGCCAGAACTTTAATTGGATTAAAGGTATTTTGCTGTTGCGCATATTAAACTTAAATATCTTATGATAAATAAATATTTGTATTAATATTATTGAGCCAACCCCTGGCAAGAGCTCAAAAGTGTACGGAATTCGTTGAGTTGGGTTGAGTTTCAATATTTGAAGTGAGCGGCGACATGTTTGTTAAAGACTTTAAGGCAAATGCCGTTATTGTTATTTATTATGGCTTGCCGATATTTTAATTAAGTTTATAATGATTGCTGCTGAAACATACGTGAATTCTACAGCCTAAATGGGCGTCAAAGTCGGCGTTGTCTTCGTTGTGGGCGTGTGCGTGACATTAGCGCCTACCCATTTAGAGCTGGTTGCCCGTTTGTGCTGTCTGCTATTGTCCTCGTCGTTGTCTACACAAAATCAAAGCCAACAAAAAGCAATAACACACCAGGCACGTGACTTGTTTACCATATTGAATTATTTGTCTATACGGTTTAAATGTGCCAGTGCACAAGACACACAAACACGGAAAACTCCAAAAAAAAAAAAAAAAAACAAAAACAGCTCCATATCCTTGCCATACTTGCGCGTAGAACAGCCACAACTTTCGCTGTGCCCTTTGCAAAAATTGAAATTATTACGCAAATATTGTTTGACATTGCCATTTTTTTTTGGTTTGTGTCCCGCCAGTTGCCAGCTACGTGCGTGGGCGTGGGTCATGCCTCATACGTTTATCCAAAACTCAATCAGATGCAAGAAATGTTGAAATGTTGTAAATGCCACGAACTCTGAGCTCAATGCCTTATCAATAGTTGAAATCGTTAGTGCTTTTATTTGGTTTTATTATTTATGCTTTGATTTATATACTTATCGATTTGTTTTATTTATGTTTGCATTCATTTAATATTCTTCATTTTGTCAACAGCTTAAATATGATGAGCTTAAAAGTTTTGTGGTATTGCCGAAAAAGAAATGATTCTGTTTTATGTACTTTGTTTAGATTTCTTTCTATAGAGGGTATTATATTAATTCCAAAGTTTAAATCACTTCCACCAATATTAAGGCCACCTTCTCTTCTAATTGAACTGAAGCCTACGAGACTTACTTGAACTTATAAGATTCGAGTAGATTCGCTTAGTAGGGAATAAAGGATATGGAAAACATAAACAAAAATCTTGAATTCTCATAGCTGCGGCTGGACTTTCCATTATCAACCTTAGAGCCGCGTTTATCACCGAATGTGTGAGGCACTTGTTAGTTGAATTTAAAGAAGGATCTTTCGAAATAAGTTTCAAGCTGATCGGATGTTAAACAAACAACTTTCACTTAGACAACATTTATATTTATCTCAAAATCTTTGATCCATATTTGCCACCGGATTGGATTGCCCGAAAAATGTAAAACACGTCTTTAATGAATTTTCATAAAGATTCTTAGAAATTTCAATTTCAATCTGGAACTTCACCCATGGAATGTTTGAACCCCGATTTCACAAATAAATAAATTGATTTCGCAAAAGTGCTCAAATTTTGGTCTCCTTAAATGTATTTCACGGAGATTAAGGGATGAGTTCGAAGCGAGTACACATTATTATTGTATAAAAGTTTGGTATGCATTTGTTATGTGTTCCATATTCTATAATATATTGTCGATATCTGGGGGTCATCGACATTTGGATGAGTATTCGCACAATCGAAAGAGGTTTGTTTTTACATGCATCGCTTGTGGTTGTTAAGAGTCTAAGGCAGCTCGTTGAAAAGCTACAAATTTTTTTTAGATGCTCGTCTTGCATCATTTTTCATTTTTCATGGCATACATAAGAGATTTTTGCATATATTTCACACAGTCAACTGACGACGTTTTTATTTCTTTTTATTTTTTTGCACAGTGCATAAATCAATTTATCAATTTCAAAGTTGCTTCGTTGCTTTTGAATAGTTGTTGTTGTTCTTGTTGTTGTTGTTATTTTTGTCGCTTTGGCGAGTTTGTAAACGTTTGTCAAAATGTTTTTACTTTTTGCCACTGCGACCACGCCCACGCCAACATCAACGCCAACGCCCACGCCCACGCCTGTGTCAACAACAGCAGCCACAAAAAAAAAATTGCAAATGCATTTTCCGCGAAACGCATAAAATGCATTTTAGTGGTAGTTGGCCGGGTGGTGCGGGGTGTGTGGGTCGTTTGATATAAACCGCCCTCCAATTCATTTGTCATTTTGTCACATTAACGCAATGGAAATGCAATATGCTAATGTCAAATTTTATGAATGAAAGAAAAATTATTTGCCTTGCAGATGCACTTGGAATAAATATTAAAATAGCCATAAGGAAACAAAGAGAGAAAGAGAGGGGAGAGGGAGAGTGTGAATGAGTGAAAACGGGGAAAGAGAGATGAAAATATCCAGAGATAGTTCCTTAGTTTAAAATTGAGTATTCGTCTTTGAAAAAATCTGAATAACTGAATACACACAAAACGGTTAAGGGTCATTCACTTCATTCACTTAATAAAGCTTCTGATATTATCATAAAACGAGGAGTTTTATTGAGAAATAATTTAAAATGAAAGCATGTAAAAGCATTCACAGAAAAACAAACAAGTTCCATTCAAAGCGAGTAAGGGGATCCCCCGACTGGGATATACAAATGTATATTTATATGCATATGTATTTGCACATAAGCCATAAAAGTTTATATGGACGGAGCAGAGTGACAGGACATGGCTCGCTGGATAGGATCGAACAGAAGTCACTTTCCGCCCAATTTTCAATGCGTTCACAGTATAAAGAGTAGCAATTTAATCTGCTAAAAAGTTGGCTCTTCAACAAAGTCGGTTTCTTTGCATTGATTACACCAGTTCACAACTGTTTCCCAAAGGTATACAAACACGAAGGGCCTTTAACCAAAAGCAGGCAAACCCCCACCGAGCAACCACCAACCACCCAAGTCAACCACCAGCCACAAGGCACCAGGCAGCAGTCTTAGCCTGGTGCAGACAATTAACGTTTCATATGGCACGCATTTAAGTTTTGCATTCTAAGTGAGTCGCAAATCTCCAAAAGCTAAAACTCAAAGCTAACTTTTGTGAGACTGTGCGTGTGTCTGTCTGTATGTGTGTGTGTGTCTGTCTGTGTGTCTGTCTGTGTGTGAAATATGGAAGTGAAATCAGCTTTTCATTAACCCATAAAGCGCAGCGCAGCGAAGGGACACAAATTGAGAGGCAGCTTCTACGGCAGCCAAAAAGTTTTGAAGGACGACATTTCTATTCATTAGCCGCAGCAGCACAACTGCAAACATACACATTACCACACACACGCACGCACACACACACACACACAGCCACACATACACTCACACAGGCAGATATAGGATTTGGTACCAAGGGCGCATTGATTTGGTATCGTTCGGTATCCACTTTGAGGAACAAAATGGCGCACGCTTTATTAGCTTGATGAAAAGTTATGAAAACTTTTGGCCAGACCTCAGACGACTTAGCCGGCAAATGATAAGCCGGCAACCGGCATGTGAGAAAATCCTTCTATTGACTTTGTCTGCGCTGTGCACTTGGCATATATGCCAAGTATGTGTGTGTGAGTGAGCGTTTCCATAAATCTGCATAATAATAATAATTTTAAATAAACCATATAAATACAGTTAAAACGTATTGTTTCTGCCAAAGTCATAGCCAGTAGCTAGCAGCCGACATGAACAGCACTCAGCCAGCAGCTAACAGTCATCTGCTAATAGCCACTGTTAACAGCAACCAGCAAACGTTAACCTTTCCATCCAGCAAAATAAACCTACTTGTATCATGCCACTAAACGCTAACATCGCTGCTAAAATTAACAGCCGGCAAGTGATATAACAGAGCTCACTTGCTCATAACATGCTGTTAGCTACCCCTCCCACAAGCGGGGCAATGTTCGAAAAGGGACAATGCAGGGGTCTCTGTTCTGTTGACTAACATTAACAGACAGCGCAGTCTGCTGCGCTGTTATGTTAAGGCTAACGCTATGTTACAGTCCACTTACTGTTGGGATAACATTGAAACTGTTAGCTGTCGCTGTAAATACGTACTGCAGTAGTAGGCAGTGAGATATGAGAAATGTATTTTTGTATATGTAAATATTATTTAAAGATCTTTCTATAACATATCTGGCAATTTTCAACATTTTCAACGAGAGAACCTACATATTTACATAAAGCAACAAGATATTAATAAAGTACATTAGCAAATTGATAATAAGCATTTGCTTAGTATTTACTTTTAATGTGAAAGATATAAATAAATTCCCAAAGTTCCCTTCCAAATTGCGGTTCGAGTTGCAAACATTTTCTCGAGCTGCACTTATATTTTTTTAATGCCATAATTTTTGGGCAACTTTTCTAAACGCCTTGCTTTGTAATTACAGACACGTGGGGATGTCTTCAGTGAGAGTATAATAAAAATAAATAAACGCCTTCAGGTCTGGTGCACATTTCATATTTTGGCTACAAATGGCAGTCATTAGGCCGGGGAATTGCTTTTCGTTTTGAGTGGCAGCTTTAAAATGATTGCCAAATGGCAAATGAAATTTGAAGCCTTTTCATTTTGTGTATATAAATATAAGTATACATATATCTACAGATATATATTAACAGACTCGTATACTATATGTGAGGTGAAATGAAGTCACTGGCAATGCGCTTAATTTGCCGCACAATGCACAAATGCCAAATGCCGGCAAAGTAAAAGGACGAAAACGCGAGCTCTTCAATGAATTCAGGCGCAAACGGGCGAGAGGGGGAATTGTGGCGGGGCGAATATAGAGAAATTGTTTTGGCACAAGAAGTGCATAAAAATGACAGTGCCTTGTGTACTCGTTTACTCGCAATTGAGTGCACAAAAGTTTTCATAAATTGCATCAATTTGCAGTTGCGGAGGGATGAAAAATATAGCTAGGTGCCGGGGGTGGGAGTGTTGGTGGGTAGCACGGGCAGACATACTTCCTGTTCTCATTCTGTTTTGCATGCGAAAGGTAAAAGCTTGTTGATTTTCTTGATGCCTGCTCTGACAAGTCTCCGCCGCACAGACACATGCAGAAAAGGAAATCCTGTTGCGCCCTTGCGCGGCATATTATTTTTTATGATTTGATTTGGCCCTTTTTTGCTCATCTTTTTTTTCTTCTTCATCTTCTTATATATTTTTTATGTCGCTTTACTGCCGCCCATCGCTGCAAATGAAGTCTAAAATGCTGTTGATTGTGTATTGAATTACTGAGAACGCTGCGCCGCATCCAATACAATGTGAAATCATGCTTACAACTTGATTGAACTCATCAGCAAAGCATCCAGTCGGCCCAGACCCCAACCCCAGCCTCAGCCTCAGCCCGCTTTATGTACATTTGCAACGTTCTTGCTCGTGTATAATAAATGTGAGCAACTTAATAATATCAAAGGAAACAGCGCACGCGATTATTGTCTTGAGTACGTGTGCATCGCGCCTAACTTTAATTGATTGCATTAGTATACAATTACGCTTAGTTAGAGTATGCACTTCTTTGTGCGTCTTTAGCTATGCATAGTTCAATTAAAACTGGCTGCGGTTTCATTAGCTTTCGCTTGATACTCACATATCCTTGGCAATTAGCGTTAGCTGTTTAGGGTGGGAAGCGTCAAGGCGGGAAAGGACATTCTTGAAGCTAAAAGAGCGAGTATTTACTGTGCCTGCAACAAATGGGGTATGCATTGTAGCTTGTATTTAAGAGTCAAATGTTGCTGCTTTTTTCCAAAAAGATCTGTGAAAAGTGAGTGCATTAATCAATATATATATAAGGTTAAATATATAAAAACAAGAGAAAAATATAAAGCTTTAACTTCAGCTTGGTCCTTGAACCCAGAATCTGTTCGCCCTTTTGGGTTTGCTATATTGCATTATTATTTATGTGCCTATACAAAATTAAATTGACAGGTAATTTGATTTGTTTTTTGGCTTATTAAATTAGTTTTGCTGCCAGACAGGCTCGAGGCGCTCGGCAAGGCTAATAAGCCCTGACCCAGGACACGAACCAATTTGATTGATTGCCTGGTGTCGCCAAACTACTTACATGCTATTATTTATGTTATTTAGCTGTATGTTATATTTTTCTTATCGAGTAAAATTTCCAAATTAGCATAGCCGACTGGGTTGAGGGCTGTTTAAATATAAATAAGACTCATTTTGCGCTGCCGCGTTAAATATGCCCATGGCCCACGCTGTGGCACATAAGTCTTAAGGGCCGCAGCAGCAGGCGCATCACCATGTGGCACGTAGTATGTGTGTGTGTGTGTGTGTGTGTGTGTGCTGTGCTCGAGAGCAAAGTGATGCGATTATCTGGCGCAGCGAAGAAAAATGTACTCCTAAATCTATGAAAAGTCAACGGGGCGGTAAGTGCGACGTGGCAGGTCGCGGTGGCACGTGCCAAACCGACTCACATTTAAAGGGTGTGTGAGCAGCGAGTACATGCGAGCACAAATGTCCTTCTGAGTGTGCGTCTGTGTGTGTGTGTGTGTGTGCGAGTGTGTATGTGTGTGCACTTCTGAGCACTCTGCCAGGACAGGCAGCAGATAATGCTCGAATGACAATTAGTTTTTCTCAGTGGCTGCCACTTGACAGCTTAAAATATCATTTACTAATTAAAATCGTATTAGATAACTCTTGACAACGATTTGCAATTCTACCCTGTAAAAAACTGTGAAGACAGCGGGCTATATAAGCTATAATGCTTGTTATAATTATCACAGAGGAGTTGTTAGTTGAATGCATGAGCATATAAAATTAATACCGAATCGGAACTGTTTGCGCTAAATGATTGAGTGATTGACTGATTGATGAACAATGCACAGCGTAAGTCGCAAGAGCTACACATTTTCGCACTATCTACGTTTCGTGGTTATTTCTTAATAAACTCGTTTCGCAAGTGTGAAAAATGCGTGAATCCAATTGAAATTGTTTGAGACGTGCTTCGCGGTTCAGTGGAAAAAGCGTGAATAGTTAGGCTTTCGTTTGATTGTCTTAGAAAATAATAAACTTGTGTCAAGTATCTGCCTTGTATACAAAACGAGCAGAGTTATGCGATATCAGTTAGTTAATAAAATAATACTAAGTAATAAATATATAATAGTACAAGTAATTTATTATTTCTACAATAAAATAGGTATTCAATTATCTAGTCATTGAAAGGATCATCTGTTTATAATGTCTTGAACTTAAAGCTGATTTTTTCTGTCCTCAAGGTCTAAAGTTTTGCTTCGAACTACTTTCAGCTTCGCTTTTCTTGCCATGTGATAGCCTTGCAATTATGGTAACCGACAGTCGAGCAGAATTTTGCGTTTAAACATTTTGTGACACTGCAATTTCCGTTTAGCTACTTATGTATCAGCTAGAAGGTAAGTGGGGCCATGCAATTTGTATGGCATTGACAGGCAGCGAAACGCTGCGCATGTCGTGTTGGTCAAGTGCTAATTTCCGCTGCTTCTTGGTCATTAAGGGCTTACTTTGTGGATGCTAATTAAGCCCTGTGCTTGATTGCAACTCAATTAACGCGTGACATTTGCATGCAATTAGCGGTTGCATTCTCTAAAGTCCTGTCGGCGATGTGGTTGCTCATTTTCAACCGAACAGGTGCTAAATGGCAAAGTTGAAGACCTTTTTCTTAACAACTAGAAGCTACACAAGCTTGAAACAATTGTTTGGCATTTACATTATTATTCGTAAAACTTCAATTGAACGGGGCGGCAAACTTTGTCGCCTGCCTTAAATGGTTATGGGAACATTTTCGTTGCGTTCAGTTGGCGTTTTATTGCGCCAAATCTTCGGGCGAAGTGCGAGCTTATAATGGCAATGCCAGATGTCCGCTGAAATTTGTTTTGGGGGTTTTTCGCCATTTCGTTGGGAGTAGGTGTTTGCGGGTTGCGAGGCATTCATCATTTTTCGACCGCCGTTTCCGTTTCCGGCTCGCACCGATTTCTGTTGTAGGTGTGAATGCGGCCGTTTTCACCCCCCGCCTACCCCTCCCTTTTGCAGCGCGTGTGGGCCACAACTTTTTATAAACCTTAAGTGGAAAACTTTTATTTAATACCCAAAGCAGTTGGCACGGCTTCTCTTGCTGTTTGCATTGTATTGTTTATGCCACCAAATTCGATTGCCTTCTGTCTGCTCGAAATTTAAAAAAAAGAAATATGTAGGCCGCACAAGCGACTTCTCCCTTTGGCCGTGTCACGTCAGGCAAAAAGTTGGTCTAAACGATTTTAACGCCTTTTGCACATTTTTTTTTTATAATATTTTTTTTTAAACTTTTGTGTAGCAGCGCGCGCCAATAACAGTCTGAAAGTAGGCAATAAAAATTGTCAAACAAATAAATGCTTGTAGTACAGTGAGGACTCGCTGCGAAAGGCCAAAGCTGATTTGTGAGAATGTCAAAAAAACTGAATTTCTTGTTGCTCGGTAATAAATAAATTTGATTTACAACCCGGTTCGATTTGACGGTAGTATTTTCTAATATAATATGTAAAGGCATAAGATTGAGTAATAAGTAAGTTTCATTTACAATGTTTTTGTTAACGAGGCTCCACTGTAGATTGCCGCAGGTATTAAATTGGGAATAACATTGAGCCCCGAACAACATTTTGTTATATTGTTTTGTCAGTATTTGTTTATATTTTTTTATTTCAGTTGAAATCCGAGTTTTTGAATTCTGACATATTTATTTTAATTTGACAGTCGGGAGTATGGCAGCATCTATTGAACCACAGCTGCTGATGAGGGGAGAAGGGGCAGACGGGAAACTTGGCTGCGGCAATCAACGTGTAGTGTTAGCAGCGACAACAAACAAGTTTATTTTTTTATTAATATTAATTTCTATGTACATAAATTTTGTTGTCGTCCGCGTTAGCCACATTTTTCGACAGGCTTCGTTGCATTTTAATTTGACGTGCTGGTGCTCTGGCGGTTCACCAGCAGAAGTGAAAGTTGCTGTCAAACTGTGCTGCAATGGAAAATGCGGCATATGCGTGAATGCGGATGTTGGAAAGTTTTTTTTTACAGGAATTTCAGCTGCATAGCTAATGTTTTAATTATATTGAAAAAAAACTGAAAGTCGTTAATAATGTAAATGTTAAATTACGCATCACATCGTTTCCTCTTTAAACTAAAGGAAAGGGCATGCGAAAATTCGTTGCGCCGCTTGCAAAATACTTCTTCAACTCAATGTTTCGTTAGTTTATTTTTTTATTTTTTTTTGAATCCCGTTGTAAATTTTAATTTATTTATGTTCTATATGTATTTGTTTTTGTTGTTTGCTAGCGATTCGTCCTAGCTGTGAGGACATGTGCATTTCTCGTGACGAACTGTATAAATTTTACCGCCAACTGCTGCCCGTTGCCCGTATCCCTTTGCCCCTTTGCCCTTGCTGCTGCTGTTGGTGGTGTAAATTTCAAGCCAAGGGTAACACCTTTTTGCTGTCATGCTGATTAAGGGGGTTGCTTGTCGGTTGTCGGTTGTATCTGCGCGGATTTTCTATACGCTGAACCCACTGAAAATGGGCAAAAAGGGCATAATGTTTTTATGCAAAGGTATGTAACAGAAAACAGGTGCTCAATAGCAATAGCTAAACACGTAATTCTTAAATATATATCTATGTCTTTTCCCACATATCTTCTTCTTCTTAAATATATATCAATATATTCTCCCATAACATGCGCCTGTCATTTGTTTCGATATCAAAACGGATTTTATTATAAGTACCTTCCCCATTCCCATCAAGCATTTATTTATTAAAGATCGGATATTAGGCACCGTAAATATTAAATTTGTGTGTGTGTACGTCTTTTTGTATATAGTTAAATGAAGTATTTGTTAAGCCTGCTGCTTAGGGTATCGCCTAGTCGGGCTTATCTTATTCAAGACCTCTTTGTTTTTTTTTTCTGTCGTATTTATAACACATAAAAAATAGAGTTTTTGTTTATTTTGTTTTGCATTTTTTGACGCTCCAGTTTAAATTTATTTAACTGAAAATTGTTAGAGAAATAAAATCTGGTTTGTTTCACTTTTCGTGGCACGCAGCCGTTCAGCACGAGGCGCGCCCCGTGTGCTTATGGTGATTGATTTGTTTTGCACCGTTTTAGATTGAAATATTTGGCGATGGTTTTGGGCCCGTATTCAATTTGTGCATTTAAAGTTTGCTATGATTGTCACATGATATGCATTAGTTTGAATTGTTTCTCCTAGGCGCCGTAGACAGCTTTATTGTTAAAGCCTTTAAACAATACTGTATGGAGCTTTAATTCTCTGTATCGTTTGAATATATAAACGCTTTCGTCCACTTAACTATCAATAATTCTGATTAATACATAATTAGCAATAGTTACTAATGCTGTGCTGAGCCTACGCTGCGAGTCCTGGGGCTGCTTTTGATGGCCAAAAGCTGCTGAAAGCCAACAGAATTTAAATCAGTTCGTCTGACTTTTGTTTATGACCCATATGATCCGCTTGTCAAAGCAGCAAACGTTAGATTTTCCAGCACACGTTGCGTATGCGTAATCAAAATGTTTTGCCTGGCGAATTGAAAACATAAACACTTGGCTGGGCAGTGGGCCGGACTATGAGCCGGATAGTCGGCCAGACTATTTTCCGGCCTTTGCTGCGTGTTGAGAACGTGTCATGTGTCGTGTCTAATGGCCAAACAGATGCTGCGCAAATAAACAGCAGAATTTCGAGCTATTGGCCAGGCTCTATGTGGATGATTGGGCGTGTTAAGGATAGAGCATCTCCTTTTTTATACACTGTTCACAAAGTAAAAACAGGATATTGGTTATTTGCAATGTTTGTTTTGCTTAAAGCTAGACACTTTATACCTATTTTCGTTAATATTCCCGTCAGATAAAGTGTTGGCCCGCGCTCTAGAGTTAAATAATTGGTGGAAAGACGATTGAAGACCTTATCTAAGGAACGACCCAAAATTATTGCAGCCACACAACATGTACAACTAAGTAGAAAGCCCCATTAAATGTTTTAACTGATTTTAAATTGTTAATAGAGTATTGCGTAGTCGCTTCACTC